TTTTACATTGTTCATTGCTGATAAACGTGTATGTGCATATGTGTGTATTATTGTTATGTGTGTATATATATACATATGTATGTGTGTGCATATATATGTGTGTATATATCTACATATATCGAATTTTGTTAGGTTGAACATATTAAAATATTTTCCAATTAAAGTCATCAAAAAACATCATTATAAGTTTAATGACCATTTAAACAATTTAACCCCTGAGTACAACATGTTGGCATGATACAGTATAGTAATACACTATATTTTTCTTACACTATATGACAAACTTCCTAAAAAGTTGAAATCTATAGCAAATGTAGCTTTGGACTGTTTGATTGTGAAAATCAGTTTGCATACTGCTTAGGCTGGTCTTGTCATCTGAATATAGTCAAGGATGACCTAGGAGTTCTACTATGTGATTTTTGTGTCCTGAATGCCAAGGTTATAGAGCAGACTACCACAGATGCTGAGCAAAGGCACCTTATGTGCATGTTAATTAAAAAATGATTTGGATTTTTAACACCGGCCACTCATAAGCAAAAAAAAAAAAAAAAAAAAAAACAACTTTTTAAATTATATTCATTTTGGACCAGCACAATGGCTCAATGGAAAAAGGCATTATCACCAAGTCTGACAAGCTGTTTGTTTACTGAACTACAGATGAAGGTGGGTTCTGATTCTTACAAGCTGTCCTGTGACCTTCATACACACTCCTACACACACAAAATAAAAATAAATTAGAAATTTAAAATATATCCATATAAATTTAAGTTTTGTGAAGCCATATATAACCTAATACACTAAATGTACTTTACTAACCAAATAATACTATACTAAAGGAGATAATTTAAATACATCAAAATAAAAATCAGTTTTAAAATCAAAATAATAAACACATAGGCATGAAGATATTGGAAATTTTCCATATGCAGTAAGGAAATGCTGTTGACACATTATTTAGGATTTAATATATGCACACTAGCCAAACAAAACACAAAACAACAAAGCAAACTACACTGTGCATATGAATACATGCATTCAACACTACACATGCTATGTTTACCTGAATTATATGAACATAAGGCTTTATCTGGAAAACAATGTGGAAGTAATGTCAAAAATACAATGATACTGTTACTGATAGGATAATTGTGGAAATCTCATCTCTAATTTATAATACAGACAATAAAAGTCAACGCATTAAAAGTTTAAAACACCATACTTAATTCAGAATAAGATTAAAATGCATTATATACATATGAATAAAAATTAAAATTAAGTTAATAGAAATTCTGACTAGATCAAAGACCTTAAAATAAGAGCAAAAACTAAAGAAGACAAACAAAATCAAACACTAATTACAGCCTGCTTGAGTGACTTTGGGGAACATGGATATATTATATAATTTGAAATGCAAGATATAACTGATAAACACACAGCATCACACAACTAGGGAACTTAAATTAAAGGAACCATTGGAAAATATTCATTTTGGAATTCTGAGTTTTAAAAGTGGCCAGTTTAAAGTTGATTTCATTTTAAGAAAAGGAAAATATTCAAAAACCTTAAGGATACAGTTATTTAAACATTTTAATATCATTTAAAGAAATGTATGGAAACCATAAAAAAGTAAAGAAATACATTTGTTTTTCTCCCTCTATAATACAATTGACATTTCTAGTGGAGAGAAGGTAACTTCCTGTAATGCCAGTTATTAAGGTAGTGCTTATTTTTTACCATTGAATTAAAGTTTAAAAAGTGTAATAATTCTAAAGTTAGCAAATGAGAAATAGTTCACTTGCCAAATTTTCACAAGGTTGATCTTTTCTGTTGGAAGCCTACACAGTAGAGCAATTACATAAAGTGTTTTGAAGGAACAAAACAGAATTTTGTTTCTGGCTACAGTATTTGAAATACAGTGGAACAGACAAGGAGTAGGCATAAGAAACCATTTCTTTTGTTTGTTTGTTTTGTTTTTTCAAGTCAGGGTTTCTCTGTGTAACAGCTCTGGCTATCCTGTAACTTACTTGCTCTGTAGACCAGGCTGGCCTCAAACTCACAGAGATCTGCCTGACTCTGGCTCTCTAGTGCTGGGATTAAAGATGTCTGCCACTAACGCCCAGCTCCCTCCACATTATAAACAGACACCAAGTCTTTAGTAGTTCCTCTCTGATTTAAGGATATGCATTTTGACTCTTACTTACAAACTATAGGTTTATTACCATGGTAACTAACACTGTAAAGACCTAGGTCACCCAGGGGAGGAGCATGGGGAAAGCGTGTATGCTGCAGGAATACAGACTACAGGCACCACCAAGGGTCAAAATGCCCTACCATCAGCAAAGACAAAGGTTCAAAATGGCTTTTGAATAACAAAGACTCAGTGTCTGGAAAGTTCTAGAGTCTATCAGTATTGTAGCATCACAGTCAACTCTAACAAGGAATAAGTCCAAGGCAAGAGGCGTGAGGAGACAGTATCACACCTGGCTTGGGGGGGGGGGGCACACAGTACCAGGACATGGCAGTGCAGACCAATGCAGATAAAACCTAGAGGTCAGTTTTTGAACATCATGCTTTCTTAGGCTCGCTAAAACCTCCATTAAGAGGATTTTTAAAGATGTCTCAACATCACAATATATATATAATTTTTTAAACAGTGTACATCACATCAAGTTGATGAAAGTTATAACTCCTACCTAAATTGTGTGTCACAGAATCAGTCACAGAATCAAGCCACATAGGCTTGACAGGTACTTAATGTTGATGCAATTAAAATAAGAAATATTTCAAAACAAAAGGAGAAAATATGACAAACTGAAAATTAGAAACATGTGGAATATATTAACTCAAATATATAAGAACTTAAGAATAAAGACTAAATTAGCAGAGTTTTGTCAGAAAGGACTTAAGGAAACCATGGTGGAATTGAAGAGTTCAAGCATATTCATAACTGTGAACAACTGAAGCTGGTGTAGGTTCCATCTCTGTGGGAAAGCCCGGCTCACACGCAGGCCGCCTGCACACTCAGTGTGTGAACCAGTATGCAGGCCGCTTGCGCACAGTCAACTGCATCACTAACCATTTTTTTCCCTTTTTTTATTTATATTTGAAACGAGCTTGTTTTACATGTCAATCCCAGTTCCCTCATCCTCCCCTATCACCCCCACCAACCCCAGCCCATCCCCTTTCTGCTCCCCAGGGAGGGTGAGGTCTTCCATGAGGAGTCTTCAAAGTCTGTCATATCATTTGGATCAGGGTCTAGGCCCTCCCCTATGTGTCTAGGCTGAGAGAATAATCCATCCATGTGGGGTGGGCTCCCAAAGTCCATTTGTGTACCAGGGATAAATACTGATCTATTACTATAGGCCCCATAGACTGCTCAGTCCTCCTAACTAACACCCACATTCAGGGGGTCTGGGTTGGTCCTATGCTGGTTTCCCAGCTATCAGACTAGGGTGCACATCACTAATCTTTACTCTGTGATTTTGGAATGAATTAAATAGACGACAGTGGCCAGAAAGAACAGACAACTGCATTGTAATAATACTGTACTTATTCCAACAGAGTAGGGTGGAACAGCACTTACAAACATGGATACATAAGTGTTTATGGTCTCATGAGGTTACAAAAGACAAGAGAAGGTATTTTTAATTAATTTTATCTGAGTTCTAATTTTATTATGCTTTGTGGAAGTAAAATTCTAATCATTAGAGAGAATTCACTTTTTTAAAGGACTTAAAATGATTCCGTTGGTTTTCTGTGACTCTCATAGGACCAAACTCTTAAATGTATACACATCCAACAGCTTTCAGACTTCTAATTCAGCAGAAAGGAGGTAGTCCATTAGAACAGACTGCCACTGTATTTCTCACAATCAACAAGTCACATTATGTCCTCCGCTTATGATTGGACACTTGTGGAATTTCACTCATGTCAGTGACCCAACAGCTGACAGATATTAGGTGACTGCAGAAAAAGGACATCTGACCTCCTGAAGAACAGTTAGAGCAGCAAGCATTCACTGTATCCAGCTACCAGTTAATCATCAGTAAAAGCAAAACTAATATTAAAATCTGTAAGTGATGGAGCAAAAGCTAGTAGTAACACTTGTTAGTCTGGAAAACACAATTACACTGTGCGATGCCCGAATACAATTGCTTGTGATTACAACAAGAACACACTGGCTTGTATTTAAATTAGTCAATTGTGTGTGTGTGTGTGTGTGTGTGTGTGTGTGTGTGTGTGTGTATGCACATGTATTGATGGGTACATTGGCAATATGTGCTTTCATGTGGAGGCCAGATCTCCCTCCCTTTCTCTCTTTTTCTTTCTCTTTTATTTTATTTTATTCATTCATTCATTCATTCATTCATTCATTCATTCATTTATTTATTGGGATGCATGATCTCTCACTGAATCTGGTGCTCACCAGTAGAGCTTGGATGACAGTCACTGACCCTCAGGGATTTGCGTGTCTTGGCTTTAACAGAGCTGCAACCTGGAACTACAAACGTGTGCCAGTTGCTTATGTGGTTGCTGGGATTTTCAGGTCAGGCCCTACGTTTGCACAGCACTTCTCTGACAGAGTGAGCTCCCAGCCACAAAAATGAAAGAACCATGAGGACCACTATGTTATTGTCGTCATTTCAGATATTCATGAAATATGTGAGATACTTTTACATGTCTGAAGCTATATGGAAGTTCTATTATATTAGCTATCTCATTCCTACATTTAAGAGTCTAAATACTAATATCCCCAAAAAGTTGTTTATTTGTTGTTACATCATGTAATACACAACCAAATGATTTGAATATTGTGAATCTGAATGCTATAGGTATGTACAACGTTACTGTTTCAAATTATTAAAAAGCACCAGTAGCAGCCATGAAATGACTAACAAATGCTTATACTAGCACCTATAATGCTATTTTCAAATTCTGTCAGATACACAAGCATGATTAGAGACATTCAATGAAAGTATGGTAAAATCTGCAAAACTTACTTTGTAACCTGCGTGTCGGGCTCTCTCCATGGAGCTGTCTTCGTGGCAAATACGGAGAAGGGTGGGGGAGTGGCAATGAAGAAACATCGTGGGTCTGAAGTTTGTACCAATGAGGTTCATCATCTAACAGAGCTGTTTCCAATTCTATTAAAATCTACAGACCGAAGACACAAACCCATTTTACCAATAATTAAGAAATCTCTTCAATAGTCTTATAACTATTACAATATTATCACAGTAATGCTGTTACAACAAAGCAATGACATCTAATAATGCCAAAATAGTAAGCATGTTTTGACAGCCACTAAATGAGAAATACTTTTCTAACTTTTAAGTGATTTTATACTTTAAATAGTGACATTTATTTTATGTATATAAATATATGTGTGTGTGTATATATACATATATATATATATATATATATATAATGACCATCCAATTAAGAGGATATTAAATTTGCCATGACATAATAGCAATTTTTACTTTTAAATTGTATATGATAACTAATTTTAATCTTTTATTTTCTAACTCAAAAGCATTTTTATTTATAGTTACTAGTATAATAACTTCATAGCCGGGCATTGATGGTACACGCCTTTAATCCCAGCACTTGGGAGTCAGAACAGGCGGATCTCTGTGAGTTTGAGGCAAGCCTGGTCTACAGGGCAAGTTCCAGGACAGGCTCCAAAGCTACACAGAGAAATCCTGTCTTGAAAAACCCATAAAAAAAAAAAAAATCAATACATGAGAAAAAATTAAAGTAGTAACAACCAATCATGCCACATTATTCCTCTTTATTATGAATAGAAAAATGACTGTCTTTGCCTTCTAGGATAGGGTGCTAAAGCTAAAAAAGGATAAAATAACTTGTATCTAGGGTTAGATAAGCTTCTTGGTAAAAGAGATAAAAGGAATCAAGCTGTCTTCCTTAAACCTTCATGTTCACTGTACCTTACTGCAGCCAATTCAAAAACAAAACAGTGCACCACCAGGCCCCTACTGATGCCCAAATGTTATATGTCATTTGAAAGGAACAGGGGAAGGCAAGAAAGGGCACTTAACATGTACCGTATGAATATGATGGTACAATATGAAATTTTTTAATCAGTCTGTATAAGAAATCAGTCTGTAGAAATGAATTACCGAATTAGTTTTCTTTCAGACTGCTGTACAAGTTTGACAGAGTTTATGAACAGGAAGTAGATCTACTGTGTAAACTGGTAAGTGACAGTGCTATTCAGTGACAGATAAATGAGCAGAAGCAGCTGCTTCCCTGTACACTTTCACTATGAGAGGTGCTACACTACGGAAGTTACCACATACTGTGCCTACTCAATCCTTCTACTAAACCGGAGCTGCACACTAGCATTATTTACACTTGGCTGAAGAGGAAACTGAAGTGGGAACCAGCTCTGTAGACCAGGCTGGCTCTACAGATTGGCCTGCCCTGCCTTCCCAGGGCTGGGACTAAAGTCACGTGCCACCAGCACCAGCAGGTGAGCACTTTCTTTATTTGGTGTAAAAGAAACTTCTTTATACCCTCTCCAGGAAAAGTCAGGAGCATGTGCCACCACTGCCTGGCAAGGTTTGTAACTCTTTAGGAGCCAATTCAGTTCATGTTTCTTTTTTCTTTTTCTTTTTTTAATTTTACCTATGAAATTATCCCTTTATTTAATCAGGAAAACTAGATAGAATTAAAAAATGCAGTGAATAAGTGCTTCTTCTCAGTACTACATGCCAGTACTTAGAAAACCACTTCACCTCTTGTTCTCCACATTACACTTGGAAAGCTTCTTCAACTCACAATTTAGACGATCTTTGCTAAACCTTTCATGAGTTTCCATTACTCACAGGATTAATCCCAAAAGGGACATGTTCTGGGGTTCTTACAACCTTGAAGCTTCATTTCTTACACTCTCTTTGCCAGTTGAAGGCAGAGACTTAAACTCCGCGACCTGATGCCTTGTTACTCTCTGCAGAAGTCTCACGCCCTTGACTATGGTAACCTCTATTCTCGCGGGTACTTACTTCCTTTGACAGCTTCAGCACAACACATAAATATGCCTACAACATAGTCCTCATCATAGCAGTGTCCAAATCCACACTGAGTTATAAATTCTTGAAGTAAGCCCATAGGAAAATGCCTAATACATTAAATGGCTTACAAAGTAATCCATGAATAAATGAACAACTGGCCTAATAAAAATAACAAGAAGTAGAAAACACTATACAAGACAATATCTCTATCAAATGAATCAAACCTTTGCATCATACACTAGACCACCCCCCATTATTATGGGGATTTCACTGTCTTGGTTTTGAGACAAAGCCTCATTATGATTCACACACTACACTTGAATTCTTGAATCAAATGATCAGTTTCCCTAGGAGTGGAGATTATAGTTATACATTACTACTTACACATCCAGTTCTGCTAAGAAGTTTTAGAAACATTGATTTTTATATTATCACTAAGGTTTATCTTAAAGCAGTAAATTCATTCTGCCAGTAAATTAACAAGTCATGCATATTCTTTCAGACACTTATAATTATGAGTCTTATAGTGACAGTCATAACAACAGAATGGTCTGAGAAACATCAACTGAAACTATTTGCAGGTACCTCTCCTAAGAATTCACTCTCTTCTTCTCGAACTCTAGCTTGGTCCCAAAGGGTGATTTCAAGCATTCGTTCCCGGAATTCTCTTCGGTGGACAGGAGAGTAAATGAAGGTCTGGTTCCATTTAGGTTCCAATGTTTTCTTTACCGTTTTTGTTCGTCTCTTGTTTTTATCACTATTTTGATAAAAAGAAAATATACTAACTTACATAAAAAGATTTTACTCTAAATTTTATCACATATTTGTCATATTACAGTGAATGTAAACTTTTACTTCCTGTTAGATTATGATACATCTGTAACTTAGTAGGAACAACAGCTCAAATAAACCTATTCACGTCAACTATACACGTTTAATTGTAAATACATATACATATACATATACATATACATATATATATATATATAGCAATGTTTACTTCATAGACCTAACAAGTAATTGTGATACATATTTTACAAAGTAACTTTATCTCAAATAAGAAATACTATTTGCTTATTTGACAGTAATAAAAACAAAACAAAAACAAAAGCATGCCTTTAAAAACACAGAATACTGTTTCTATGTAAATAGTCAGAGTAATGTGACAGAAATGGGAGCTAATTATCTTGATGGACAGGACCTATTACTAGGAGGCTTTTATACTTATGTTGAAAATATTAGTTGGAAAATATTTTAAACTATGTATCTTATATCCCACATATTATAAATTATATTTACAAACATGTATTATCGTATTATGTCATTAGTTACATTCAAATATACTAAAATATTAAAGACGGGAAATGGACAATGAACTCTAATGGGCACTGAAATCTGAAGGATGCTAGAAGAATAAGCCATAAATTAATAGATGAGATAGAAGACCAAGCTTTCACGTTACTAAAGAACATCTTTAATGGGCAGAAGCAGGAATGCTTCCTCATGTCCCTCACAAACATAGCAACCACAGCAAATGCTCTGCAAACTCCACCATCATCTCCTAAAAGAATTATAATATAAACCTTATTTTCAACAAGTAAAAACAAATGAGTTTTGCTTTTCTTAAAATATAACTGAAACCATCAAAGTGCCATCATGGAATTTAAATCAAACCGTGCAAAGGGACTAACTGTACTTAAAGACTAAACTATGGAGGTATATTTTAAATAATAAAATAATTTTAATTTTATTTTAATATTTTAATTTAATATTAATTTTAAATAATAAAAAAAGAAAAGAAAAAATCCTTAATCCCTAAATCATTAAAAAAATACCGTGAACATTTGCTTAATAAAAGCTAACCATAACTTTATTTTTATGCTAGTACTTTTAGGCTTCGGTTTAACTTAAAGGAACAATCTTGACACTTGTAATCAAGATTAAAAATGAAAGAAATATTTGTGGCCATAACCAACTTTACTTCAAAATATTACTTTTATAGAACATGGTACATTAAATACTAACATAATTGAGGTTTTAGAGCAGATATATCTTCTATTCCTCATGGACACTTTGGGAAGTCTTACCAACTAATTATTGATTGTTAGCTCATATATTAAAAATTTCTTCCTGAAAATTTATCAGGAAAAAATAAATTAATAGCTAATGTTTATTAATTTATTCATGTGTAAAAACTGGATCAAAAGAAAAGAGAAAATATAATGTACCTAGCAAAAAATTCTCCAAGACACACTGTGCCTGGGACATAAAGGACAAGTGAAGGAGAGATATTTTTACTTTAATCCCACTGCCTCAAAAAACAAGAAAAATTGGGCAAAGTAAATAAAAAGTTAAATAAAAAAAGTTCATAAAAAAAAGTCAGTAAACTTTCAACATCTTAAAACTTAAATGTGGGCAGGTGAGATGGCTTAGCGGGTTATCACACATGCTGCCCTCCACACTTGACAACCAAAATCAATCCCAAGACCTTCATGGTGGAGGGAGAGAACTGACTCTCACTAATTGTCCTCTGACCTTCATGTGAATGCTATGGCATATGTACACACCACACACACACACACACACACACACACACACACACACTCACATACACACTCACACACACACAGAAACACTCACACACACATACACACACATATACACACACACTCTCACACATATACACAATCACACACATACACATACATACACACACACTCACATACACACACTCACACACACTCTCACACATATACACAATCACACACATACACACTCACACACACCATACATAAACAGGTACAGACATACACTCACACACCACACACACACACACACACACACACTCACATCCACACACGCCACACGTAAACAGATACAGACATACATTCACACCACACACACACACTCACATACACACACTCACACACACAGAAACACTCACACACATACACACACACACTCACATACACACTCTCACACATATACACAATCACACACATACACACTCACACACACCATACATAAACAGGTACAGACATACACTCACACACCACACACACACACACACACACACCACACACTTACACACACACACTTACACACACACACACAAAATCATACATATACACACACTAACACATACCCACACACTCACACACATACACCACACACACACAAACACACGTACACAGATACAGACATGCACTCACTCACAAACACATATACACACTCAGACACACTCACACACCACACACACAAACACACACACACAGATACAGACATACACTCACACACCAGACACATACACACTCAGACACACTCACATGCACACAGACACACAGGCACTAATGAATAAATAATGTAATTCAAAATAAAAATATAATAAATGTTTTTTAGAAGTATGAATTGTTGAAACCTAAGTAGCTTGAGAATAAGGCAGAGTTCAGAGTGCGGTATTTGCTGTGGATTTGCACCATTTAATCCCAGGAATTTCTGTAGCGATAAACCACCGTGCACTAAAGAAGCAGAAATTTAACTGCCAAGTTCATATGATAACTTGCCTGTGGTATCCATCATTCAGCTGAAATTCAGGTTTATTATGGCTAAAGTTTTTTCTTTCTTACATTTCAATATGTGTCTCTGGACACACACACACACACACACACACAAAAGATAATCTAAATTGTCAGAGACTAACTTTTCTCAAGTTAATTTTAAAGAAAATATTATACAATAAGAAAGTAAGTTTCCTATAACTATAAATAATGTGAAATATGAACATATAATGAAATTTGTTTTTCAAATTTCTCTTTAAATTGTATGAAGTAAAATGCAATGCTGATTATCTGCTTACATTATCTTTTTCTTTGCTAGCATTGCTCAGATGATGCTCAAATGCTAAAAATCTTGTTTTTTATGCAGGTGTTTTAATCGCCTATATTCAGCAAACCTTTTGTCTGCTCTGAAGTCCAGCTGCATTCTAGGAACTTGATGGCCTGGAGCAAGGATTCTTTTATGTTTGGAGCAATGATCCATTTTTCTTTTCCTTCCTTCCTCCCTTCCTTCCTCCCTCCCTCCCTCCCTCCCTTCCTTCCTTCCTTCCTCTCCAGTGTGCAAATTCTTTTTAGATTAGACAACTGAATAAGACTTGTGAGGTCCAGCCTCAGCCAATGGGGAAAGGCACAATCACCACAAGAATGAGATTAAAAACATGTTTACTTCCTGTCTCAGTGTGTTCTCTCTTCAGAGTCCTCTGGATCAAGAGTTAAACTTGCCCTTTCCAAACACTAAAATTGGCCTTTGTTGTAGCCCTGAACTTAATTCTAACAAGTATACAACTCAACTTTGATGAACTTTCTGCTTAAAATAATTAAGGACCAAAGGTGTGCAAACAGATTGAAGGTGTGTTCAGAGCCACTGCCAATCACAGAAAAATGACTCAGACTTGGAAGCAAAATGCCCTGAAGTCAGACAGAAGAGTGAGAAAAGCGTCACCCCTCCTTCCATCCCATGACCCTCTTATTTTGATATGCCTGCAATTAAGAGTGGTTAGATTACTTTCTAGAAAATATTTCTCCAATCCTAAATCTCGTTAAAATCTGGGTAGAACATAATTGATGACAAAAACCAAAATACAGTGCTTAAAGGAGGTGATTATGGGCCCAGCATAGCTGGACAAAATAGGTGATAAATACAAATCACACTTCTTAATTTTATGAATGTAGTAAAACAACAACAATATCAAGAGGTCTAGATGTAAAAAGTGGAGAAGAATCTGAAAACAATTTAGTTCCAGTTCCAACTTTGTTTACTATTACAATCCATTACAATTTTTATTTTAAAATAAATTTTACTAATTTTGGCATAGAAACATGTATTACTTAAGAAATATAATATGTACATGGATTAACTAAGTATTTAAATAAAGTAATATGTAGTAAATGCAAAGTTCTAAAATACTCTCAAGTACTTACAGTCAATTTTTGATACATCAAAATGATTTTATTTATAAAATTTATATATATATGTAAATTTATATATATAATTTATTTATAAAATGTCTCCATTATGACACAAAATAATGAATGATACAGAATTGAAATATTTTTTTGCTTTCCCACTCATTTTTAAGAGCATATATGTTTTAGTTTCAAATTCCTACCTTCTGTCTGGAAGAAAGTAAATTTTAACATAAGGATTCCTTGGCCTCCCATCTTCCCTGGAAGGGAGATCCTTTGCTCCCAAAATTGTAACTATCAACTGGTGACCAACCTTGTCAAACCATAGTTTGATCTGAAAAGCAAAAGCATTCATTATCAGCTCAAAATTTACTTCCAAAACATGTTTACATTTCCAGTCTTTATAACATTCTCTAGTATTAATATTAAAAGAGGTAACATTTCCCTAGTAAACTGTGATTTGTTAAAGTAAAAGGATATACTATAATAACTTCAATGAATAAATTAATTGATTCTGATGTTTCAGTTTCATTGGTAAATCACTTGGATTTTTACTATGTGGATATGTCTAATTAATGAAATAAACTAGTTATACTGTTGTATTACATACTTTGTGTACAATGATTCCCCTAACTCTGTCTTCATGTAAGAATCACTGTGGTTCTTTTTTGCTCATCTATTAAGTTGTGAATAAGTGTTCTAAATGTAGTGTGTGGACAGGAACAAGTAACCAGTATTCAGAGGGGATTTTCAAGCAAATGCTTTGTGTCTCCATAGTAAAACGGATTTCAAAGGACAGAAGTCTTTACTAGTACCTTTAATAGATTCCTTTAGTTTGCGCTTAAAATGATAATAAATTCAACTTTAAAATTTTTTAGAGGCAGTGAAGAAAATACATAACATCCTTAAAATGGTAATTTTGAAATAATTTTGCTGTGCCATAATTAGGGGCTGGCACTTCATGTCATCCTGATCCCGAATTCTTTTAACTTGACAAGTCTCATCTCCCACAACTTCACACCTTTGCCCCTTGCTCCCTGAGCATCATCTGTCTGGATCTAAACCAGATATGTGCATTACCACCAACTCAGCATCTCTTACCACTGAAATGGAAGCAAAAACTTAGAACTTAATAATCAAAATTTTAGTAAGACATGAACCACAGTAGTTCAGTTCCAATTCCACAATGGTTTGGTTGGGTCCCTCTTTATATATTCCAGAAATTCAGAGGCCGACTAACTGTTGAGTCAGAAAAGGTGGATTTAAAAGGGACGAGTCCTCTTACAGGAATAAGAACAAGAGGAATCCAGATTTTAAAAGTAGCTATTACTAGTTTCCATGTTTTAAAGTAGTTTTATCTAGCTATTCCATAACAAAATTTTTCTACCAGTTAAGAAGTTCAAAACTAGAATCTCAACAAGATTTTCTCAGTCTGTGTTTAATAAATATCTGATAAGCACTCTTATCTGACATAATAGAGAGTTACAGATTTCTAGGCTAGATTTCACCTACAAATTAAAATGACATCTTAGAATTTTAAGAAATTGCAACATTCATTCAAAAGATCAAGGACCATCCTTACTCCCTAAAGAAAAACAGGTCTAATAGCTAAACACAGTGATGCCTGAAACACCAGCTTTTGGAGACCAGAACAGGAGAACTGTGACAAATCTACAAACCTAAAGCTAATCTGGGCTACAAAGCAACACTGTCTCAAACAAGAAATGAAACAACCAAAAAACTGAAGAGAGAGGGACTCAAAAATTTGAAAGGAATAAAACTTGAAATGTGTGTGCCTAGCAATATTAGACTACAGAGATGAGGATAAACTAGGGGCATGGGGAAGCTATTCTCTGCACAAAAGCCATGAGAGAAAACTGAAGAATTCAAATGTTTGATTTTCATGGGATGAAGGAAATGTCAACAGTCTCACAGTCTTCTAGAACCTGTGATGAAGGTCAGATTATTTAAATATCCTCCATTTCCACCAATAATAACAACTCTTTTAAATTGATTTTTTCTGAAAAACTATTATCTTCAGATTTCCCTGTAAAGCCAACCACTATCACTTACCACTGTTATCTATTTCTTATATAAACATACACAAGCTTTATTGGTTTGATACTGTTGCCACAGTAAGATACTGTTAACTAAATTATACTGTCCAAATATATTAATACTGTCCAAATAATAGAGTATTAACACTATTAAATAAGAATCTTCCCCAGTACATCTTATCAAAATCAGACTTTTTCCAGAAATTGTCTGGAACCAGGCACCTACTAATAGCCCTAATTTTCTATTTTATTACAAAGTGTACATTGAAGTTCTTAATAGATATCCAAGTCAAACAGTGAACCTGTGTTTTAAAAATAATATTTAAAATATAACTTCTTTGTTCCCCAAAATATAACAAATACAACCTCATAATTCTATCCTTGACCTTAGTTCAATTAATTTAATAAAAATCTTGGTGCCATTTTAGTTGTTTAATATGACTATCCTCTCAGCTTTACCATGTAACCAATTTAAATGGTTCATAATAGAAATTTAGCATCAAACATAAATTTTATGTTATATGATATTAAGTAGAATTAATATTTTAATTACTTAAAAGTATTATTCAAAGCCATTTATTTTAAAAACATGCAACAGAGCAGGGAAGGCATAATACTACTTTAAAGATAACTATATTAGCATTACTGTACCATATAAACAATATCCTAATGAAAAGAGGCAAACAACTTGTACCCAAGTAGTACATAAAACAAATGGAATGATAACATACAAAAAAAAAAATATCATTTGGATCATGATTTTTTTTTTGTTCTTTCAAACTCCAAAAGTTGATTCTTATATATCAAATGCGAAAAAAAAAATTAAATAAGGTACAAATATATTTGCCAATCTCCTCAAGGAGTCATTGCTTGGAAAATGCAAGAGAATGTAGATGTGATGTGGAATAATGAATGATTTAAAGAGACAGCAACCTTGTGTAATCAAGGAAAATAGCTAGAGTTTAAAATTAGCTGTTTCAGTCAATGTTACAGACATAAGCAAAATCTACATCAAAACTGAATAGGAATACCACTTTGAAACCTATACATTTGAGTACTTCAGTAACTTACAAAATAACTAACAATGATTGTCTCTTTAAATTTGTAATCAGTATTCTAATCTCCATGCAGAGTTTTACAAGCTGCTTTATAAAATGATTTGGTAGTCAATAGTATGGTTTGGAGCAACATACCAAAGAAAGTGTTCCTACTACGCATTTTCCAAAAACATACAAATAAGGGGTAAAACACAACTTTAGTTTCTATCAGGCAGACAAAGCCTTTACCTGAACCCTAGGAACAAAAGGCGTTGTTCTTCTACTAAGGCTTTGGCTCTGGTAAGCAAAATTAAAGAAAAAAGAAATAAAACAAAACCAAAAAGGACAATATGCTGGAACTAAAAGACCAAAAGTAAAAATAAACACATAAAACTGTCCCTTAAATACAATGTTTCCATGACAATATATTTAAATTAAGTACTTCACTATAAGAAATAAGTATTTCCCAGTGCTAAAATAGATGAAAGGTATTTAAAGCATTATAAAATATTACAATTTATTTGATCATATTCTTAAAACAGTCAAAATAATAGGAATTAAGCCTAAATGTACAAGAACATAGTCAGATAATATAATTTTGAAGGGTGGTTAAAGCATAAACCCCAAAATGAAGAAATTTAAAACTTTACCCTTAAACACACCACAGCCTGTGATATCCATGGGTGACTGGCCCCAGGCTACCCACAAATACCAAATCCACTAATGTTCAAATTCTTTATGTCAAGTGGCATAGTGTATGTTGTTGGTGTTTTATTATTTAGGAAACAATTACAACATGAAAGTCTATAGCTATCCAACAGAAGCATAAGGTTTTTTAAAAACTGGTACACAATTGTGTAAGTGCACGGATGTGAGCCCTGCTAAAGTGTAAGTCTAATTGTTCATAAAGTACAGTTAAGCTTGATGGAGGGCACCGGATCAACTGCTTGCTGCACTGCGTGAGATATTGTTAAGTGCTAATCATACCCACTAACAGCAGCATTTTATTGCTTTTTTTATTTACAGAGTTCCTTTTACTTTTTGAATGTTCATGGCATGCTCATTGCCATAGGATACCTCCCAACAGTTAGCTTTGGGAGCTAACTGCTCTTATCTCCAACAAGCAAATGGAAAAGAAAAAAGAAAAACAAAACAAAACAAAAACAAACAAACAAACAAAAAACATGAAAACCTCTAATAGGATATAAACACAGTTCTCAGAAGAAGAAAAAAAATCAAATTTCTTTTCTGAATTTCTTAAGCTTTTATTTCAAAACTATTTTTAGTAATTCAAAAAAATCATAATAACCTAGTTCAGGTCCAGGTCTGGCAACCATAGATAAAGAATAAAATGGGAGGCCCATCGCCAAGGCTGAGAATGGATTTGTGGACACTGAGTTCTGCTTCCCTCAACAAGACTCCATACCTCTTCACATCTGTTGCAGATTGATAGTGACCGGCTGCCTTCTGTCTTCCCGCTCTGGTACTAATAATGGGAGGGCTTCTGCCAGGTAGGGAACCACTGGACCCACATGACATTTGAGTAAGAAATCTAAAACCCACAACCTTCACTGCACATTGTTGGTCACCAGGAGTCACCTTTCTTTCTCTCCCCCCCCCCGAAAAAAAAAAACAAGCATCAAGTCTGAGCAGTCCTCCTTTTCAAATGGAGATATGCCCTAAGAGGAAAGGTGCTCAGGACAGAAGGGGGAAATGTCTCCCTGAGTAATCTGCATGTATAAAGTTTAGTAAGTAGGGGAGGCAGGTAAAGTTCCCATAGGTTAACTAGACCTGCTCAAGGGACAAGGAACCTTAGAGATTTCATTTTCCTGGCTCCTATCTCTATATATTTAAAATAAAATATGTCAAAATGGGAAGAACTATGTAAACATATGTTACTTCATAAAATAAAGGATCTATGTTAAAAAGAATATTTAAGAAATTCTTTATAGCAAACAGTTTTCCATTATCTAAAACACCTTGAAACAAGCAGCTATCAGGTTTCTAAATGTTTTTTAATCTTTATGTTCACCCATGAGTTTACACATTAATGAAGACTACAAAATGCATCTGTTCCTAGGTAGACTTTTTAAATTATGTAAAATATACAAAGCATACAATCAACAACCTACAGCTTAAAAATCAGGAGCAATTACTGCACTGGAAAGCTGTGGAATTCTCATTTCTCAGTTTCAACCTTTGCCACTACCCAGAAAAACACACCATACCCTGCAGTCCCTCTGCTACTCCATCATTGCTATCTATGCCATGGACCTGACACTTTACACAGGAATGATGGCACTGTGGGGGCCACATTTGCAACTGGTCAGGCTTCATATAAACAAAGAACTGGAACCTCACATCATAATCTGTCAATGTCCAATGTCATTTTCACTATTCCTGGTAATACGATCCTTAGCACACGCTTTCTATGTCTAGGTTCATTATAAGAGTAAAATACTCAAACATTAATGCTAAGATACAATACTTTAAATGAGGTGGTGGGGTGCACCTTTAATTGGAATTAAATAAGGGAAAGCCAGAGGCAGGAGTTTCTGTTAGTTTTAGCCCAACATGGAACAAATAGCATGTTCCAGGCCAGTAAGAGAATATAGTGATATAGTGTTTCAAATTTTAAAAAGTAAAAAATAAAGAAGAAAGAAAAAAGGGAGGGAGGGAGGGAAAGAAGGAGGGAGTGAAGAAGAGAAGGAAACCAACATTTTCATAAATACAATATTTTTTAATGTTCTGGAGTTCCATGAAGAGAGATATGAAAAACATACAATTACTCAAATTACTTAAATGGGCAAATAAAATTGATATGTGTAATATTTACTAAAAATGAAATGCAAAAATGTTAAGATAAAGTAACTTTGCAACTATAAATAAATCACAGGTACTATAATGAAAACAAATAATTATCAGTAGAATCAATAGTGTAAAGAGTTTCTATAGAAAAAAAATGAATAATTCTGAACCTTTTTCACCGTGAAAAAGAATGAGGTATTTTAGCCTAACAGCCTATCAAACTACTAGCCAAATAATATAAATGAATTCAAAATTTTTCAGAATCACAAAAGTTATCCTACAACTTAAAAAGAGTTAACCTAAGGGAATGCTGCCACTGAATAGGCTAACACAAGGTTCAGGAAAAATAAACTTGATTGAGCTCATTCTGATATCCTCTTCAAATACACTAATGACCCTTTGTGGGGATTTCCTAGAATAAGGAGCCCCAGGATTTATCATGGAGACAAAATTAATTAATCAGCATCTTTGAGTATAAAAATGCAAACAAGAAATATCTAATATGTGCTTTCTATTTGAAAAAATATTAGTAAATGAAGTAGCATATTGGCAAATCACCTCAAATGTGTACAAGTAATTTCTGTTCTTAGGCGTTAGCATGACTTTGAGAGAAATGATCCCAGAAGAAAAGGGGGTGCAATTGTGATGGCTAAGATAAGCATCAGCTTGAATGACCCTAGAAGGACCTGAGAAACAAACTTCCAGGCACACCTGTGGGAGGTGATCTTGATCCACTGGTTGAGAAGGAGAAACCCATCTTAATTATGTTTGAGCCGTTCCCTGGACAAGGTGTGGGGCCACTTAACATGGAGAGGGGGTCTTCCCCCTGACACACTGCACACCACCTGTGCTTTCTGGTGGCTGTAACATGACCAACTGCTTCAGTTCCTGAGGCTCTGGCTTCCCTGCCATGACCCACAGTACCCTGAACTGTGCACAGGACACACCTTCTCCTTAAGGCGTTTTTTTCTTATTATCTAGTCACACCAACAGAAAGGAAGCTAAGAGAAAAAGGCAGAGTTTAGACTTCTGAGTGGTCTCCCAAGACGTGATATAGGCAAGCATACTTTAAACTCCTACATCTTCATAGCCAACCAAAATTGCCTGTAGCCTAGCAGGGATAAGGGGATAGATGTGTAATTAACCCAGGAGAGCATCTAATACAAAGAATAAGAATGAAATCCAAAGCTATATAATAATAAAAGGCATTTTTTCTTGTTCATTTATATTCCTGGTGAATAGAACAATGATTTCTGTCAGAACTTAAAATTTATATGTGTATGTACGTACACACACACACACACACACATATACACACACATATAATATGTATATATAAAAAGGTGTTTGATACATTAGATGTAATTACAATAGCTTTTTAATAATCTCAAGTTTATACTTTAGCATTTGGATTATAATTTTACTTCTAAAAGTTCTCTTGACACTAATTTGCTATAATAAAAATAAGCAACATTTATATGTGTCTCAGCACTTCAGTGGCATCCTTATTAATAATATAAACTAGAAGTTAAAAATGAAGTATAATAGGTATGAAATAAAGTAAAGAGGAATTTTTAAAAGTAAGACAAAGTCTATACAGTAATAAAGAAAAAAGAGAGCTCAGGCCATGTGTTCAGGCCACAACTATAATCCCAGAATTTATGTCGAGGCAGCTGGAGGGCCACCAGTTCAATGCCAGTCTGGTCTACATATTCTTTTCTGTCCAGTTCAATGCCAGTCTGGTCTACATATGCTTTTCTGTCCAGTTCAATGCCAGTCTGGTCTACATATGCTTTTCTGTCCAGTCAAGACTACACAACAAATTTCTAACTTGAAAAAAAATAAGAGAAAGGAAAAAGAGAATGCAAAAGTATATGAAATTTTATTTTAAAATTACAAAAAAAATCATATGTAGTGTCAGGATTATCAGTGATTTTACTTTTGGTTTTTCTGTACTAGATTTCTGATAGTAATATGAATTATGTTAATAATCCCTCTCTTGATTGTATGTAAAATGATTGTGTATCTGTGCATGATTTCAAAATGTGTGTAATTAACATTTTAAATAAATTCATAGATTATTTTCCTTCCAAGTTTTAAAAAAACACACTTTTCATATTAAGCTACAATTATACAGATTTTACATTACTATCACACCCTTAGTAGTTTAGTTACTCATATTATTTAGACCTGTCTGTAAAAAACACCTCTAGAATCCATATATATATATATATGTATGTATGTATGTATGTAAAAGTCCATAAATTATTATCAAAGTAACCCCAAATTCACATAAGATTGAAAAGCAAAGAAGAATACATGAATAATTGCTTCTGCTTTAATACAATCTTTGCATGATATACCATTTTCCTCTCTCTAAAAAAACTGTAGCAATTCCCAATCATTTTAAAACAAAGAGTAAAAGTCATCACCTCAATTTCTGGACTAATAATTAAGGTTAAAAATGGGTTACATATCTTCGTAAAAATCATTAAACTCTATAAACCTAACATTAAAAGAAAGCATTACAATAAATAGCCCAAATTAAATTTTAAATAACTATAAATAATCAAAAATGAAAAAGCTGATAGAGACGTAAAGACACAATTATGCTCTAGGAAGAACTTTGATGAGAAAAAACAAAAAGAAAGGAAAGAAAGAGAAACAAGAACGTCTAACACTATATTTTTAAAACATCATTTAATATTCCCAAAGAGATGAATTTAGTGATTACATACTGAAAGCTGTCCAGATAAGAACTGCGGGACATCCCTCAGCATGCCAGGACTCATGGGAGATGTAACGGATATAGAAGGACGATCCATTTTTTGAGATTCAAATGAGCTAGAACCTGAAATGACAATTATATATAAAGAACAATAAAATGACTCCTCGCTATTTCAGAACACTCAGCATATTTCTTTAAAATGTCATTTAAACGTCATTTTATACAGACATTTTGTCACCAGAATGCTATAAACAATCTTTGAGGAGTTTTTGGTGGTGGTTTACTTTTGTTTCAGACAGCTCTTTCTGTTGTTTCGTTTGCTTTTGTGTAAGTGTGCTTTAGGGACTCCCTAAGACCCAATTACACCTCTGCTGAGCTGACTGTGACAGCCAGAGGCTCTAATACAGGATTTATTTGTCTATTACTACATGTACTATACTCACACATTATAATGAAAGAACATTAAGAATGCAAAAGAAAGAAAAGCCATGAGACAATACACCACCTAATGAAACTTAAATACTGAGAACATAAGTTCTAGGATATCAAATAATATTGAATGTTCCTGGGTGACCTGTAAGTCATATCTTGAAGGATATAAAATATTACACAAGCTGAAGTAAAATGAGAAGCTATAAAAAAGATACAGAGCAGCAGAAACAACAATAACAAAATGTTCAATTTATGAAATAATGATGAACACAGGCCTGAAGAAGTGTTTCAGTGCAACAGCACTTGTGAGCTACATATGGCACCCTATGTATGACACCTTATGTATGATATCCTATAAAGATACCCTATGTGTGATACTCTATATATGATACCCTATGTATGAAACCCTATGTGTGATACCCTATGTATGAAACCCTATGTGTGATACCCTATGTATGAAACCCTATGTATGACACCTTATGTATGATATCCTATAAAGATACCCTATGTGTGATACTCTATATATGATACCCTATGTGTGATACCCTATGTGTGATACCCTATGTATGAAACCCTATGTGTGATACCCTATGTATGATACCCTATGTGTGATACCCTATGTATGATACCCCACATACAACTATGTAGAAGGGAAAAAGGAAAATAAATGTGAGAAATCCAGAAAGCACTAAGATTTTCATCTTATTACCCAGATCAGAAAGTCCCCACCCCACCCCTGTATACCAGTTATCATTTCTGAAAAGCACACTGTGCTGGCTTCACTGGAATTCAGAACTGTGTAAAGGTTACAGGAGAGGAAGGGTGTGCAGTGTAACTTACTTTGGAAACACCATGACCTTATAACAACTTTGAGACTGGACTAAATGTCAGAGGCAAGAGTAGAGTTAGATTCAGCCTGTTGAGCTATATGCCTACTTAGAAATGCACATGCATAAAATTCAGCTCTGGACAGTGTATCATGTAAAACTATGGGGAAAAGTGCAGTTTCCAATCAAAGAGTGGTGGTGACACCTTTTCACAATATTTAGAAATAAAATGGTGATGCCTTTGTAGAAATAATTTGTTATCTCATAAGACTAAAAAGCATCAGACAACAGGAAAATTAGTAGAACACATTCTTTAAGCAGCCAGGGATAGAGACACTGACAGCACCTTTTAATCATTTAGCTTCCCAGCTGGAGGTTGAAAATTATACAGAGCAAATAATCTACAGCAGCACCCAGAATAGAGACCTAAAGACCAGTACCTGGACAAGCATAGAGATAAATGTTTAAATAATAAACGTTTGAAACCACTTTAGACAAAGACTCTTGTCTCTTCAGGAACTAGTTTCCCAAGCATTTTCTGTGGCTTTTTTAGATAGCCATAATAAAATAACGGGCTTTTATTACATTCATGGTGTCTTACTGATATAAGGGGGAAAAATGTTGCCTTTTCCATAGCTTTTAAAAGAATAGTGATAATATAGCCATAACACCAAACAGTTGCAAGTACTAAATAAAATGAATATAGCACTATATAATTCTAATGTTTACTTATTACAGTGTAGTTACATTTGAACAGAACCAACACTGCCTTGTCACTGTCATTAAAAAAGTTAAATTTACATGCTTAGGCATGACTGCACCCGATAATTTCAATGACAGAATCAAAGCGTTAGGTATAAACTTTGAAAGCGGTTCCCAAGAGCTCCCATGTCTTCCAGGGGTAAGTGGTCCTTCCAGTGCTTTAAAGACTGAGCTGTGACTGCTGCTGTTCCAACATCACCCTGTCCATTTTCCCCTTGCCAACTCCACACGGTCACACTGGAGTTGGCCACACTGCTGCGATCTCAAATTAGAACTACCATCTTAGTTTCAAGAAAATATAAATAAGAATAAACAAAACTATTCAAAAGTTGTTCCAAATGTACCCTTTACAAAGAGAGTGGAGTTACAAAGTTGCAAATTTTAAGTTTTGTGGGAAATTTTAGGAAAAATTTGGGGAAAAGGTGGCTTTGGAAAGTGACAGAAATGATCATGACCTTTCACTGTGACACATGGGTACATAGCAGCCAAAACTTAAATGTATTCTTGTTATACAGTTATTATAATATGCCTTAGTGAAGCAACTTTAAAAACCCACAGTAATAATGGCAGGGGAAAAACTGAAACTATACTGAAATTATTAGAATTTGCTTTTTTCCTTATAGTGATATGAAATAATATGAACATTTCCGTTTTTATATGGATTTTAAAATCAAAATTTGAGACTATAATTTTTATTATCTTATGCCATATTGATAGATTAATCTCTTCGTCAGACCGTCATCAAATGGCGTGGTGCTTACTAACATATCCTAGAATGAATTAAACTTACTGGATTCCAGTTGTGCATGTGTGCTATCAGGTATCCTAGGTATGTCTCTGAAATGACAGAAAAGGATAGAAGAATAAACATTTAACATTTGATGCATCTTCAATTTTAATCCAAATTATAAACAGGTGAAAATGAGTATGATGAAATGAATAAAGTGAAAAATGAGTATAACAGAAGCATTATGAAAATAAGACCAACCACAGTTTTTTGTTTTATTTTTGGACAAGCTGGCCTTGATCTCTGGGTAAGTGAGGATGGCTTAGAATTGGCCACATAGTTCTACCTTCTTCTCCCAAGTCTGGGATGACCTGGTTGCGGCTAACTCTAGCAGGAATTAAAATCTTTATTTCCTATGTGCTTTACTGTATAAAAATGTCCTCTAAAAAATGCTCTGTATTCAACAAGGTTAAGTCTTTATAAATGTATGTTAATTCAATTCTTTATTTTTGCCTTCTCTTCTAAATAAATGATATTGGAACTCAAATATCATTAAAACAATCCAGTTATAACTAAAATTTTAAAATGTAGTGGTTACATTGGTAATAGACAAACATGATTCTTATGGGAACTTGTAACCATATTTACAACAAAAATACCTACATTTATTTGACATTGGCAGGTCATTTATAAATATACATAGAAGACTATTAATTACTTAAAATTTAAAATATAATTTGAGTATACTTCAACATTAAAATAGATATGATTAATACACTAAGCTGATACACTATGGTTTTACCATATTACCAGACTTTTAAAAGGTAAAAGGCTACCACCCATTATTTCCTATGTGAATGAAAACAGGGCACGCTTACATGGAATAATTTCTGTAGACTCCATTCATAGATGCTGTTAGCTATTCAGTAATTTAACACATCATCCAATAGTCTACTGTCCAGTTAAACATTTTTATTTAATTCTGATACACTTTTAAATTATAGAATATAAGTTTCTGCAGAAAAGGGACTGCCCAATACTTCATGAATAATCCTCACAGCTTAGATGAAAGGGTTAAATTTACTGCACCTTTAGCATATATAAGCTACTGACCAATAAAATACAATGACAAAGTGTGTTTTAATGCTGCCTAGCTTTTTATTAATCACATTTTTAAAGAAACTACTTTTTCTCGAATAAGCAATGTATCTGGGAATTATATGCATATCTCAGCTAGATTCTCCATTTAAAACACAAAAACAAAATTGTAAATTATGTAGATTATAGTGAATAGCATTTTTACAGTGTAAGACAAATAATAGTTTTCCTAAAAGTAACTGTAGTACCTTCCTCTTACTAATAAACTTAGCTATATACTAGTTATGAAGATAACAGCAATAAAAAGGCACCTAAATAACTCTTCTTTTTTTTTTTTTTTGTAATCTGCAACCTACTTTACATAATCAGATGGAGAAAAATTAATTTTGGTCAAATGTTTTAATTAGAGAAAAAAGATGTCTGCAAACTTATTTTCATAAAGTAGTAAGAAAATTTTGTATTTCACAATCCAAACTGCTGAATAGCAGTCACCTTCACACACATTTGTGAATCGAGGGCTGGAGCAATGGCTCAGTGGTTACCAGTGCATAGTGCTCACACCAAGGACCAGGGTTTAGTCCCAGCACCTACATACTGGTTCACAATCACCCATACCTCCAAAACCAGGAAGCCAGGGCACCTTTCTTACTTCTGCATGCAGTGCACAGACATGCATTCAAACAAAACGCTCGTATGCACAAAATAAAATTAAATATTAAAAATAAGTTAAAAAAAAAAGTTACTAAGACGATCTTACCCAATTGGCCTTGAAACAACAAGCTCAACTTGAGGTTCAGGTTTGGATTCTAGAATGATGTTGTAAACTTCCTCGAACGTGGCTCCTTGCAGTAACCTTCCATTCCATTCCAGTACTTCATCACCTGTGATGTCAGGAATAGTCTATTAATATAAGTAAGCCAAGTCCATCGAACATGCTCAAAGAAAAAGCAATCGTTGGCTTTCAGTAAATTTCCAAGTACATTCACCATAACAGAGTAACGTACATAATGAGAACAACTCAATGGCACAGAATTTTATGGCTAATGTAAACATAATTCATCTGAAAGGGTAATGTTCCATGTATGAACACACTACATAAAAGGTATGTCCATTGATCTAAGGTCCATACTCTCTCTGAGGACTCTATGATTCTATTCTAAATATGTAGTATTTACATGGTCAGTTCAGCACTACTTTCTTTTAGGAGTTTCAATTTCCTAAAAACTCTAAAATCTTTTGGAAGAAGCTAAGAGATTCATAGTACATAAACTCTTCTTCAAAGAATTTAACGATTTCTCCCACAGGAATTGGAAGAATTGGCCAAATGATATGGTGATGACATCATTTAGAAAATGTGCATGTACTGATGAAGTTTTTTTCCTAAACAATGTTGGAATTCTTTTCAAAATAAAAACAAAGATTTGGGGAAACAAAATGAGCTAATATTAGAGGCAGCTTAGAATATCCATCAATAATATAAAATATGTGAAATTGGGTGTATAAAGAGGCAGGAGAGAATCATGGAGGAGTTAGGAAAGAGATGAAAATGATCAAAATACATTGTATAAAATTCTCCAAAACAGCATTTAAAAAAAGATATTGTATCTAATATGACATAAAGAATAAGAGTGATAACTTCCATTAATACTAAAGATTTTAATATACATGAAAGAAACTAACTATTACTGGTCAAATCACTTATAAATGAGAAGAGCTTTTCATAATTATTCATGACTAGCATTTTTCTTTCTGCAGTGCTAGAGATCACACCCAAGGCAAGCACCCTGTCACCCCAGCTGCATCTTACATGTAAATATCCAGTGGTAGGAACCTACCTGGTCTAAGGTGTCCTACAGTATCAGCTAAACTTCCTTTTTTTACTTTGGTAATGAATGCACAGAGCCGGCCTGATTCAGTCATCTTTCCTCCTACCACCTGTTTAAAAGAGGGAAGGATTGAGATTGTCACACTGTTCAAGTGACCTACCACATTGAAGACCAAGGAGAAAAATACCACGACAATTACAGTGGCTAAAACTGTAATGTACAGCACTAAGTTTCATCTCTTAATATAGTGGTGTCATTTGGAAGTGTTTTATTCCAAACTCATTGTAATTTAGTTTTATTGTTGAAAATACAAGTATCTTAGAATCAACTCAACAATTTCTTTCTCACTATAGAATTCTTATTTTTTATTTTTCAAAACATTAGAGCACTTTTTAAAACAAAACTTTTCAGGTACAAATTTATATATTCTAATATAAAATTTTTCATTACTTTTACTATGATTATAATATTTTAATTAATAATATTTTACTTATATTTATAATATCCATATTGACAATATATTTCTTGGGAAAATTATAATTAAATCATCAGAAATAACACAAATTTAGGTTATTTGAAGCCCAATTTCTCTACTTTTTAATTGCTATTAAAATATTTATTTCAGAAAAAGAAATACACATTGGAAACAAGCATTAGGAATTCTATAAAATCATAATAAAACACTATACACTTACAAAATTAACGCTTTGATTCTGGCTAGCCAGTATTCAAGTAGTCCAAATCAAATTCCAAAGCAGGTGAAGCAAACGATAGTGACTAAATTTGTTGACTAGAGTAAATTGGCTTGTTCTCTTACAAAGTGAGTAAAGGATCACTGAATTAAAAATCACTGAGCTATCTTATCTCATTCCATACATATATACCCACTGTTATCAAGGGCATTCTGAATTTAAATGCCAACACTGTCACCATCTCTTCATGACCATGGAGACCTCAAGAAGTGCTGACTACAATGAGAGACACGAAATAATCTGTTGAGTGCCAAATACTGTAACCATCTAATCTCACCACACCAACATTTTTTTTTAATACTTACCATTTACTATATTCTAGACTACAATTTCTGTAGCCATGGCTTAACTCTGAAACATTTACTGTTTTTGATTTCAGTTTTTTGTTAGGTATATTAGATTAAAAAAAAGAAGCTAAAGGAACTCTATTTTGCATATTTTCCAAATATGTTCTATGACATTAACATTTTTATCACCTAATTATTCAGAGGTTCCCAGAATTTCAAATGGTACATTTGGGGATTGATATCATTCAGTTGTAGAGTATGTGACTAGCATGCATAAGGGCTTTAGTTTGATCCTGACACCCCAAATCTAAAAAGTACACATCTGCACATGCAAATACATTTTACTACATCAACACAATAATATATTTTGATATAATACATATATTACATTTTCAAGTTTGCCTAAAAAATTAAATAAAGCTATTAGTTTAATACTGGCATAAATACAGGCAAGATAAACAGTTTAAGCTCAAGGATATTCACAGTGTTTAAGATTCAAACTTTTTTCAACCAGGTTATTATCAATGTCCTTTTAAAATGATTGTAAAACTACTGTTATGGGATATCATAAAATAACTTTATGCACAAGTATGTATATGTGTTTGCCGGTGTACATCGATGTGTGTGTGTTTAAAGATGAACATGTATATATGTGTGTATGGAAATGAATGTGTCCTCAGATGTACATGTGTCTGAGTATGCATGAGAGTGTGTGTGTGAGGTGTTCATGTGTGCACAAATGTGTGAGTTTGCATATGTGTGAGTGTGCATGAATGTGCATGGATATGTGTGTGTTTATAGATATACATGTGCATAAGTGTGCCTGGACATATGTGTGTGCTTTGAGGTGTACATTTGTATAGTATGCACAGATGCTTGTGTGTTTACAGATACACATGTGTATAATGTGAATGATGTGTGTGTATTTGCAGGTATACATGTATATGAGTATGCATGGATGTGTGTGCATTTGAATCAAGGCCAGTGGACAACCTGAAGTATCCTCCTTCACCACTGACCTGGAATTTGCTGAGTATCTTAGGCTGACAAGGCAGGAAGTACAAGACATCCACCTGTCTCTGCCTTCTCAGCTCCAGATTACAAGGATGCCCCACCACGCCTGGCTTTGTATGTGGGGCCTAGGGATGGGAATCAGGGCCTCTTACTCACAAGGCAATCACTACCTCCTGACTATCCATCTAACCTAGAAACTTGGGAAAATTTCTTGGGAAAAAATTTACAGGAATGAATGACAAAGTTTTAGAATTCTTGAAACTGGAAATAAGATAGCCCTTAGATTGGCACAAGTAGAAAGAACTATATTTGTTTTATTGATAGATCTGTAAAGTGACATAGAGCAAAATCCCATAAAGTATTACATACCTTTAAGCCCAGCATTGCTCCTGAATCTCGAGGTACACTCCCATCTTTCAAACGCTTATTTAATAAAATACGGCCAATTAGGCGATCTCCATCTTTGGATGGCTGCCAGGTCACAGGATGCTGTCATATAACATCAACAAATGAGAAAAATTAATTTTATGTCAAAATACCATGATTGCAGTGTCTCTAAACTCTATAGTGCTAACGCATTATGATTACACAAACCAGTTTACATTCCAAATTACTGGTTGAAGCACTTACAATATTCTTTTTTATTATAACCCCAATTTTATTGACTCAAGGTATTCTTTTAAATCAAATTATAGAAAACTTTCAGTTATCAACTATCACACTGTTAAAGAATAACAGCTCTGAAATTTTCTTTAAAATGTATGCTAACTCAACTTGCTGAAAATTAATTAAAATCTCACAGGCAGCAAAGATACAGTAGAAATCTACTTAATAGACCTCACTAAAAAGTGACAATTACTGCTTCAAACACTTGGAATTTTTTGAAATATTCTTAGTAAAAGCTAAAAGGGCAAGACATTAAAATGTAAAATCCAAACATAGTGAACATTTCCAAAACCTGTGTAAATCCCCAATACCTGTCCAGTTGAATCTGCACAGAGGAAACAGGATTTACTCAAAGGCAAATATAAAAGTTCATTGATTATTTTAATGGAGGTTTGCTACATAACCCAGCCTTGCCTTGTGCCCACTATGTAGTTTGGGTGGGCTGGATGTTCCTATGTAGCCTATGCTGGTCTCTAAATCTTAGGGCTTCCCTGACTCAAGCTCAGCTTCTACAACATGGCAATTAGGACATGGGACACCACAGCTGGTGGAAAGCTTACTGTTTTAGACGTTTTAGTCTATTTACTAAATTTCTTTTAATAGATCACTCAAAGACAATTATTGTTAAATAACAATAATATTACCAGCTTGTTTCTTTCTGGGTTTAGAATTATGGCTTTATAAATGATGAACCATTTCATTATTAATAATATGCTAAGCAACAAACTAAGTGATTTGTGTAATCATAGTGACTTCATAGTTACATAAAGGGAGCATGCAGAAGTTCATGCAAAATTTAGCAGGCAAGAGTCAAGTTCATCTATATGGTAAAAGATTAACTTTTTTTGCTATACTAAAAGCAAATAAAATAATAAACATCAAAGCAGATGGCAATGAGTCTAATACTAATTAATACTACATGCTATGACAACAAAACAAAAGAACAAAGTGACAGTGAAAGGGAAAAAAGAAAAACAACTTTTTCTGTGCAAACAGACCCAATTGTCTCCCTTTTGCCTGGGATTCAAGCTATTAATAATTTGATTTTCATCCCAAGGAAAATATAAGTAGACATTAAAATAAGCCAATCCAAAAATGTTTATTTATCGTTTATAATGTTTCAAAGTTCTCTCAGTTGACTGCACACAAACATTCCTTTGTTCCTACGTTTTAGTTTCATTTACTTAGATTTTGGTATGCTGTCAATCAAGGAAAACAGCAAAGCAAGCAAAAGGCCTTTTGGCTTAGTTGTTTAGTTGTTTTGTTTTTCTTTTCTGCACCTTAAGAAATGCTACATTGACCCTTGAAATGCCCTGTCCTTCCATTATGTCCTGTTTTAATGAGTGACAGAGAGCAAACGAAGGAAGACCAAATGAGCGGGCTAAAGGCAGGGCCGCAGTCTCAGTACCTTATCACTATGGCTATGCTCCTCGTTAAGGGTGGTGCTACTACACGTATCTACCCCAGAGTCCTTAATCTGAGGCTCAGACCATTCCAAATCCTCTTCCAAAGAGTGGCCACCAAAGTACATCCTTTTCTTTTGTCTCTCAGACCTGGTGTTAGAGTCCGACAGAACTCCCTGCTCACTAGTTTTCCTTTTTCCCTTTTGACTGTCCCCTACAAGTGTGAGATAAAACAAAAGAAGATACAAAAAAAGAAAACATGCAAAGGCGTAAATAAAAAAGGAAACATGAAATGATAACGGAAATTCAATAGTAAGGCTCCACATGTCTCACCAAAGACATTGGGGACGCCTCACTGCTATGCCAAGACGCATGGTCCAACCAGCTGTAATCCATGTCTCCTGTGACAGCCGGGCAGACAAGAGTGCAAAAAGGAGACAATGGAAAAGGACAGACAGAGAAATTATAAACATTTAAACTGCGGGAGCCTGTCTGCTTTCAAGAACTCTATTTGTAGTTCTCATTAGATACCAGGAAAAAGCTACGATTCCAAGTAGAATTCAAAAAATGCAAAATATAAGGCTTTTGTAGTCCAGACAGAACTACAGAACAAAAGCCCTACAATAATTCTTTAAAAAATAGAATACTTTTGCTACAAATAAGCAAAAGTAGAAACAAAAACTATTGGGCAAGCTCATTAAAGCAAAGACTGGTCAGCTATGTCTGGTGTGAGCTCATTTATTTTTGCATGCTGGTCTAAAGCCATGAGTTTTTTCTCAAGACTGATGGATGTTTATAAATGAAAGAGTAGCTCAGCAATAATATTATTTTAAATCCAAATAAATGAACACTGTTCCTGGAATGACATGTAATAATCTTTATAATGATGAAAACTCCTCAAAATTTTAAGTAGTTAAAAAAATAGTTACACAACAGATTTTCTGTATAAATGATAAAAAGAAGTTTCATTCTATATCTATCAGTAGAAAGGAAAAATGAAATCATAAATTTTACTTATATAACATAACTTACTTAATATTACATTAAGACAACTTTTTTGAGAAATTACATTGATACAGTTTTGATAGACAATTTACATGATGGCAACTTATGATAAAAATCTATTTCCCAATAGTAGTGTGATTATTTATGTCTTATTTCCAAAGGGACTTCTTTTCAATCTACATATATATGTATACACATATTTTAAACACTATTAGTATTTTCATTCATTTAGAAACATTTACTGAATACCTTCCATTTGTTCTATATTGTGCTATGCTCTAAGATAAGGGGTAACACAATGAAACATGCTTGCAACAGTGTGAGAAGAGACACAACAGATTAGTGTGTCACAGGAGAGAACAAAAGACCAGGAGAAAATGTGAACTCACCAAACACCTCCAAAGAAACTATTTTTAAGTCGGGAGCGGAAAGATGCGATTTAGTGGACAAGTAAAGAGATAGACATATGGAAAGGAAAAGAACATTCCAGTAGGAAAAAATAACACCATATTGTAAAAATAAAAAAAAAATGGGGTAGGGGGCACCAACATACTTAAACAAAAGGAATGAAGGTGGACACAGTGGTATGCAAGAATGATGATACATCACAGGAGAGCTTAGATTAATCTCTTTATGTCGTATTAAAGGTTACCATTTTCAAACAAGACAAAATCTGACCTAGGCTTTAAAAAGCTGCATAAATATCCTATAGAGACCAGGTTAGAAGAAACAACAAAAAAAAATTGAAATGTGTTTTCAATAACCTCTGGGAAAGATAAAGGTGAGTATAACCTACCCAACAGTAAGGACAATAGCTAACACAAGAAAGAGAGAACTGAGACTTTTCAGTATCAAGAAAAACCGAATAGTCAAGGTCAGTGTCAAGTTTCTAGTCAAAGCAACTGAACAAAGAAAAAGACAGTTTCTGAGATGGCAAAACTATAGCAAGAACATTTTTGTTAGAGAAGATATAGTAGTAAATTCTTTTATAGAACCTGAAATGGCATTGGCTATAAAATTCTTATTTCATAATAGCAAAATGATTTTATAAAGTGTATCTTACACATTATTAAGCAATGGTTGGCCTGGATCTAGTATTTCAATGGTCTATAAGTTATTAGAATGGGAGTATCAGCAGTAAAGGTGCTTAAAGTCCCTAAAATAGCAACAGTAGAGTCTGAAAACATGTTAGAAATGCAGGAATCGAGTACCACTTTAGACACAGAGAATCAAAAAGAACTGGTGGAGCCTCGCCATCTGTTATAACAAGACTTCCAAGAAATCAGGGTCTCACGTAGAAGTGCTGTAGTCCACAAATGTGTTGGACCCATTCACAGCTTTCCTAAAACACAAATGCAGCCCAGAGCCTGAAGGCAATTCTCTTTAAAAGTTTGTTTATGAAAACAAATTAAACTGTTTATCTAATACAGACAAAATAAAATGTATAGAAAGAAGTTCATTCTTTACCCTTAGGCCAGAAAGGTGCTTCTTAAAAAAAACTTTATCACACAGATAAAAAATTTGAATTCCAATAACACACACTAACATATGGCAGTGACCAAGCCATGGTATATTTATATGCCTGCTTGGGACTACTCAAGAGCCTCAGAGAATTTATATCTTAGAAAACCTGTTGCCTTCTCAAAACATACTATAGTTCTGTAAGAAACCATCTATATGTTCAATTAAAGGAAATAAATAGTATGAAACCCATGATTTACATGAAGTTTAGAGAATTCAATTTACTTCACAGTCTCTCATCTTTCTCTGATTTCGGACTACACAAAGGTCAGAAACCTGGCCCTGTATTCTGTAAATAAAGTAGTTTAACACTTTAAACCATCTGAAACCAAAGGAAAACTTCATCCTACTAATGATAAAAAGGAGTGAGAATATCACTTGCCTGACATTGAATAGCATGTGTTAAAGAAGTAAAAACTACTGTCATTGAGAAATAAATACAATAATCATCATCAAGCACATAGAAACAAGGCTTAAACTATTACAAATAGTGGTATGTAGACATTGGCAGTCACTACTTAATATTAACTTTTGTATGACTTCAAAAGGCAAAACTAAGGTAATAAAACATCATTTGGTGATGCTATGAAAACATATTCATGGGTCTACAGTTAGAACTGTTAAAGGACACAACATAACCAAGCATAACCAAATGGAAAGTTTATAACTAAAATGTAATAAAGCAGATGGACGGACTCCACTGCAATGTAGGGAGGACATAGCAATGACTAAATGCCTTTGAATGTAGAACAAGAAAAGTTACTCAATATGAAAAACAAAAATAGACTAAAGAAATATAGAAGATGCTCAGATGGTCAGATATTAAAAGATTTGAGAGATGGTAACAAAAGACACTTGTGAAATATTACTTTACACTGTATCAATAAATGTTGCTGGATTACTTTAATAAAGAAGCTTACTGGCCAATAACTGAACAGCTTAAGGTTAGGCAGGAGAGCCAGACTGAGAATGCTGGGGGGGGGGGTGGAGCTAGAGAGTCACCAGCAGATGCAGAGAGAAGCAAGATGGGCATGCCGTACTAAGAAAATGTACCAAGTCACATGAGAGAGCACAGATAAGCAATGTGGGTGAATTTCAATGTAAGAGTTAGCTAGTAACAAGGCTGAACTATTGGCCAAGCATTTGTAGTTAATATATGCCTCTGTGTAGTTACTTGGAACTGACAGCTGGGAAAGAAAACTGCGCCTACAGACACTCATTCTCATTACAGAATGAGAAGAAAAAGTGAATACATTGAAGAAACATTAGAAGCTGAGAATTTCCTACACTATAAAAATTCAAGCCTACAGATCCAAAATATTATGTATCTTTAAATAAGAACACAAAAATCCATACAAAGATACAGCCTAACCAAACTAAAAACTAAATATTATAACACACACACACACACACAAATAACCTTATAGAAAAGACTAAAATAATTACATTGACAACATCACATGCTGCATCAGAACTTGGTAGGTTGCAAGAGAATAGCACACCACTTTTCACTTGTAAAAAGAAAAAAGGCCAGTCTAGATTCTAAATATGATGAAATTATCTTTTAAGAATGAAAAATATTCTCAGACAAAAGAAAGCCAAGTGAGTTTGTCACCAGCAAACTTAGCTAAAAGAACAACAGCTAAGGACAGAGAGATATAGAAAGACATGGAGCCAGGAAATAGTAAAAGGAATGGGAACCATGGTAAGTAAAAGTATGAATAAATGAAATAAAATTTTGTTCTCCTTAGTTTTCAAAATTATTTAAGATATTTGAAGTGCAAAATATATAATGCCTAATTTTTGGTTCTCAACACACAAACAAGTAATATTTAAGAGGGGGGGATAACTGAATATAAGAGCAAAAGGTTTCTCTATTTACCTCTAAGTGGTTAACTATTCATGCGGGTGGTATGTAAAATATGTTACATTATTTAGAGCAATCAATAAAAAACTATGAAAAGAAACTATAGAAAAGTAAAAACTGTACAAATAACTCATGGGAACACGATAAAAAGATATTAGGACCCAAAAAAAGAAAAGAAAAGAAAGAAACCAATGGAAAAATATAAAAGAAAATGAAAACAATAAATCTAAGTGTGGACATGGAAATGCCTAACAAAATATAAATTTAAAAAAAATTATCAAGGAAGAAATAGTCCATAGCCAAATGAAGTATGTTTCAAGAAAACAGAGTAGATATTTGAAAATCAATATAATTCAACATTTATACACATTAAAGAAGAAAATCAAATGTCCTATCAATTTATCTATGAAAACATATTTTTACAAATTCAGAGAATAACCAATGGACAGAAACTTGATCAACATAAAATCTCAAGCTAAGGTAATTAACAATGAAACCTGTCTGCTTTATAAATACAAAAAAAAAAATCATTTAAAAATATCTTTATATAGTTCTAAAGATAAAATAACCAATACATAACAACTAAACAGAGTGGTACACAGACACCACAGAATACTATCTAATAATTAATTGAGGGTTCAGGGAGAGGGGGATGGACTATTAGGAAAAACTATCAACGTGTTCAGGTACATTAATGCTAAATAGGGAAAAAACCTCAAAATGTCATTTAAGAAATCTTTTGTGATTGAAATCATAATTATGTGACCTTTTGAGGTCTTCTTTGTGATTGGCACAGGTAGGAAAGATATGATTAATGTGAT